TGGCGCCGGCAGGCATAGCCCAAAAGCGATGAGAAAGTTGAATTTTCCCCCCTTTAAAAAAAAAAAAAAAGGAGGGGAGGGGGAGAGACTGGGAATTGCAGGACTCTGACAGTGTTTGGACAGTTATAAAGGGCAAGATCTTGTCATTGAAAGAAAGACAAATGGCCTGGTTCTGTGCTGCCTTTTCATCACTTCCATCTGGGCTGGATTTACAGATGAGTGGTGAAGGACAGGCTCCTCGAGTGCCTAGGTGTTAGATTTCTATCCGGGCAAAGCAGTGAGCACTCGATTCATCTCTTAATTCACTTGGATATTTATCTCTGGCTACCCAAGCCTTTAATCCAGCTTTGGTTACCGGTGAGATGTCTTCATTGGCACTGCGTTTCCTGTAGCGTCTGTCTGTCATGCTGGAAATGGTGCTTACCGGCTCTCTCTAGAGGATGCCTTGGGAGGGGCTGTTACGTTCCTGACCCCGGCTAAACTTCTTGCCTGTTTGTGGTTTTAGTTGACGAGTGAGGGTGTGCAGGTTGATGGTGGAACAGCCTCACACAGAGCTGGCCTAGGTAAGGTGTTGGTGTTTGACCTACTCATCTTTTTCTTCCTGCATCCCTCTCCTGCCCTCCACTCGGGGCCAGCAGGCAGGCCAGACCTGCTACCCTGCACGCCTCCTTCCTTTGAAGAAGCTACCACGGCCTCCATAGCCACGACACTATCTTCAACATCTCTCTCTGTTCCCGAGCGATCCCCTTCGGAGACCTCTGAGCAGCCCAGGTACAGGTGAGGACAGCACTCGTCCCCTGCTCCCACTGGAGTCAAGTGGCTGCCGTTCCTCTTCGTGCTGCAGATCTCAGCAGGCCGCCCTATGCTCTGGAATGCTAATGACTGATTTTAATTAAATCTCTCCTGGGAGCAAGTAGACACAGCTTTGATGGGATTAATTATTGCTGGGAGGAGTGTCAGCTGTTAAGTAGAACATCTCCCTCATGGGGTGGGGAGTTAGATTTGGGGGCAGTGTAGGATTTCTGTCTTAAATCGCTCCTCAAACGCTATTGTTCTGGCTTCTTTCTGCAGGAGGCGCACACACTCCTCAGGGCAGGATGGCAGGTGAGAAAAGCGTCTCGTCTCTTCTTGCACTGCTGCACAGAGACCTCAAGTTTATCCCTGTGCACAGGTCTCCTGGAGGGCTGAATGTGAATCTCGGCAGCCCTAAGATTTTGGCATGGTTCTCTGCAGGATGATGAGCTGCTTCCTGCAATCAATTGATCCCCATTTCTTAAGCAGAATTTGGCTTACAAGCAGATCTCTCAGCGCTTTGCAAGGAACCTTAAATATTACCCCTGTTATTTGATGGGAAAGGGGACAACCGAGTTGTCCAAATTTACCAGCACCAGAATGAAGGAAGGTCATTTATGTCCCCCTCTGGGTAAGCAAGCTTTAACAGCAGGAACATTCCTCCTCTGTGCCTCTGCCTGCCGCCTGGGTGCGGTGGGGATGAGTATGGGAAAGGACTTTGGCTTTCTGAGGCACTGAGCACCCTTAGTCCCTCGAGAAGTAGCTTCCAGCGTTCTCAGAAACGCTGGTACTTTGAGGTTTTTTTTCCTTCCTGCGGTGATAGGTGGCTCAGAGCCAAGGTCAAGGTAGGACAAAAATCCCCTACTGCATAGGGATGTCTGGATTTAGAGGCTCATATCGTATAATTATCGTGCATATTTTTGCACCAGTAAAAATGACCCCATTGCCTGTGTCAGCGAGATCTGCATGAGGACCCTGTGTTTGCTGCTGACTCTGCCCTAGCTTTCTGGGACATCTTGTAAGCGTTGCAGGCACAGACTTTGAAATGCTCATCAGAGACTCAGTGTTGCGATATGCGATAGCCAGAGCAGCTGCCAGACAGGCTGACGTCCTCTCCCCCTGCAGTCAGTGTTTGGTGCTTCAGAGGAAAGCACCTTTGGAAGATGAGAGTTTGTACCATCTTACAGACATCTCCCCTCATTCCTAGCTTTTAGTGATTTGCTGAGCTTCAGACCACATACACTGTGAAACAATCCCTTTCTGTGGTATTTCTTAGTGAAAATACCTCTGGATGCTGCATGTCGCTGAATCTTGATAAATTCCTGTCACTGGAGGGAGAGGACCTACTTGGTGTTGTTCTGCAGCGCCTGTTGAAGTGTCAGGGGCCTGTGAAGCACCTCGCCTCCTGCAGAATCCATTGTCTGAAATTGCTGAAAATTGGAGACAAACTCAGGCACCGATGGTGGGACCCGTTTGGCAAAATGCAGTGACTTCATCTGAGTTACTCCGAGCTCCCTTGGGACCTAATGGAGCGAGTTGCTGTAGGATGTGACTGCTGATCCAAAACTAGGTCAGGTGAATCGAAGTGGCGGTCCCTGGACCATACAGGGAGCTTAGCATCTTGGTCAGAAGTAGATCTGTCTGTCACAGATTTGCCACAGCTACAACCACCCCACACAAGCGTGGCCACCTTTGCTATTTTTTGCCTAGTTTCTCCATTTGTGATGCTGGTGTCTCAGCGTGCCCTTGTTAGGGCAGCAGGGACCTCTGTATTTGTAGAGCGCTCTGTGATCCCCTGGTGAAAGCCAGTGCAAGAACGGAGTTACTAAAGCGTGCATTTACATTCCTGAGCTGAAATGAAAAAGACTTTATCCAACTTCCTCAAGAACACGTCACACCTCTGATTATTCTCATCTGCTGGGGAATTCCCTTTGGGTTTTTGAGATCCGCCCCTGTGAGGGATTGAGGAGCGAGTTCCCTGGCACCGAGCTGGACAGGAGTGCCGCCTGCTGGCTCCGGCTCCAGCCAGGGACAAGGACGGTACAGCCGATGGACCCGGAGCTCGTCCCTTCCCCGAGACTGTGCCCCTGGCTTGGCCAGCGCCTGCTCCTCCTTCCCATGAGGACTCTGGAGCCAGCCCTGCTAGCACAAGCAATTACTTTAATAGCATGAGGTATTAAATTGAAGACCATCACAAACACCTCCTGCGATAAATCTGATGTTAAACCTGGAGCGCGCTTGAGAAGCTTTGGTGCGCTGGGAGTCTCGGAAGAGGTCGGAGGCTTTGGCCCTTGTGTGGTTGATAGATAACACCGGGCTAACTCTGGACACAGGTTTTCCCTGGAGGCCAATTCTCCTCTTCCCTCCCGTACTCCATTTAACACCGCCCATCTTTTCTGCAGCACTGGCTAATTGATCCCTTTCCTCTTGTCCTCTTTTCCCACCTTGTTAGTCTTGAGCACTGCAATCTGACAGAACTGACTCTCTTGCCTGGGAGTTTTGGTTATCCAAATCCTCGATCCTGGGAGGTCTGATGGCTCCCTCTGAGCCAAAATCAACAGCTCGGACTGTGCCGGGAGCTCGGTGCCGCGAGTGGCTGGCAGCAGGCAGCCGCACGCTGGGGCAGACCAGCACAGCTCACTCCTGGGGGAGGTTGTGGTGCGAGAGGCTGGGCTGACTCAGGACTGATTCAGGCTGACCTAAAATTGAGGACCGTGCATAACTACTGCCCAACTGAGCCTTTGGGCCTGTCTCTCTTTGGTTTCCAGGTCACACGAGGAGGTGCGGGTTGAGGAGGAGCTTCAGCAGATCAGCGTCGAGCTGGAGCCCAAGTGCGACGTTGAGATTGTACCTCCTGAAGAAGATGACAAAGAGTGAGTGTTTTGGAACGTTGGGCAGCTTTGCAGAGCTCTACCCGGTGTCATTTGGTCTGTGGCAACTTGTGCTGGAGGCTGACTTTGTAGGGCACCAGCTTTCCTGGAGAGAGAGGTGCTCCCCGAGACAGTTCAGTGAAGCTGAGCGCTGTTACTTCTGCCCTGACCTGATCTTTCTGGATGTGACAGCGGAGCATCTTCAGCTCCTCTGTAACAAATCATACACTCTTGCTTGCTCCTTTTCTGATCGCAGTGACTAGACTCTCGTTTCTCCCCCACTCCAGAGAGGCGGCTTCTTCAGCCTGTGCCATTGTAACGTCCACAGCTACGATAGAGGTGGAGACAGCCAGCCAGGCCTCCGAACCAGCCAGCCAGGCCTCGGATGAAGATGACGTGCCAGTCACAGACATATACTTTGTAAGATACCTTCTCCGCCTGGCCCGGGAGGGGTGTGATGGGAAAGGTTGGACAAGGCTGTAAAGTCTCGATTTCAGGCAGTCGGGTGCAGGGCAGTGTCTTCCCCGTGCGGTCTTTGTGTTGAGCTTAGATCTTAACGCTGGATGGGTTTTTGAATGCAGGGAACTAGATTAACCCATGGAGAACTCAAAACAGCATTTAGTGGGGTTCAAATGGGTGGCACTGCCGCTGTGGATGTAGCCGTAGGTGTGCTGCTGTACTTCCAGGCTGAAGGGCTTATCTAGGCCAGCGTGTTCACTCCAGGACAAGCCAAGGTGAATGTAGGTGCAACTGAGAGGCTCTTCCTTCCTCAGCCAGAGTCCCCGGCTGCTTTTGTGAACACAAATGTGCCGCAGTGGCCTAGAGCCAGAAGGGGGAGGTGGTTGCAGTGGGGCTGACCTCGGGCTCTGGTGAACTCTGGCTTTTCCTTTCCCTGCAGGCAGATGCATTAGGTGATGCAGTGAAAATCTAGCGCTGAGACAGGGAGTAAGTGAGGTGGTTGCTGGTTGGCAGCAGAGTGCCGTGGAGCCGGGCGCTGCGTTCCTCAGTCAGCTCTCGCAATGTCTGAGCAGCTTCTGCAGACCAGAGAAGAGTTTTTAGCAACATGTACCTGTCCCGTGGATTCCCAGAGCAGAGCCGAGGGTCTGACCCGTGAGAGCTCTCCCCCATGCCTGGGCACTGGAATTTTCTCATTAAAAGATGTGTCCAGCTCCTCCCTGCTCCGAGTTGTTGCTGTGGGTTATGTGGTGATGGAGATGAGCTGAGCCCTTGTGATGAGCTCCTTCAGGCTAACCTAAAAATGGCAACGTTTGCCTTTCCCTGTGCTTGCGTGACTCTGCTGCAGAGCTGCTCACTCGTTGCCGAGTCATTCCGAGGCTTGTGGGAGCTGTGGAAGGAATCAGCTCCATTTTAAAAGCTTGTCTGTTTGGGTTTTTATGCATGCTGTTCAAAATGCAAACAGCTCCCTCTAACACTGGCTGCTCTTTCTTTGCCTGTGGATGGCAGCTGCGTGCAAGCTGCCTGCAGAAACCGCCTGTTCCACCGGCAAGTGTCTTCTGGCAACGGTCAGCTCCTCTTCCTCCCTGTCCTTGCACATATGGAATCCCCCCAGCTTGAGGGGCACCTCTCTATCCGGAGGAAACCATCTGTGTGCAGCGTGTGCTCACAGAGAGCGTGACTGACTGCTCATCAGCATTTCATACTTCATCTAAGTCCTTGAGTTTCGCATTAAATGTGTGTCGTGTGCTGTGGAGTGTTTCTCACTGCTGGGATGAAGGGAAAAGCTGATTTGGGTTCCCACGGGCACTCTCCTTGGAAAACCACTTAAGCTGGAGCTCAAGTGAGGCTGCACCAGAGCGCAGCGGGGCTTGGACCTGTGCTCCGGGGGCAATGGTCAGCGAAGGGATGCTGTGTGCAGAGGATGAGTTGTCAAGTCCCAGGGGACTGTGATCTGATATTTAGAAGTCTGCTCCTGAAAGGAGAGCACTTTATCTTCCTGTTCGCTCACAGGGGAATAAAGTGCAGATTGTGGCAGGGCATGGGCACTGCTCTTCCCACGCACGGCTTTCCTGCCCGCTGATCCGTTCAGGCCTCGAGTTGCCCAACCCCTTGTTTTTTTGCTTTCTCTTTCATCCTCTCTTTCACATCATCCTTTTTTCCTGTTTCCTTTCTCATTTCACTTGCCCTGGGGCCATCCAGTTCACAGATGGGAGGTACTGGATTTACTCTCCCCGCCAGCGCAGACTCCGAACCACCTCGCTTTCCTCTGGGATTGTAAGTGAACATTGCTAGCGCATAGGGGAGCAGAGCCGCAGCTTTGAAACACTGGGGCCAGCACTCCATTTCCCTTGGATGCTGTGGTGGCTCTGTATTCTGTGGCCATTAGAAGCCAGCCCAGCAGAAACTGGGGAAGCGTATTGAAATCACACAAATGGATCTCCCTGTAGGATCTTGCAGAAGCACGTGCTGTGCCCTGCTTTTCGGCAGGCTGGTGACACAGCGCCTGCTGTGGGATGGGCTGCAGTGTCACCCAGCCCTTGGACAAACTTGCAAGCACCAGACCTGGCCAGAGAGGCACCTGAGCCTTTGTAGGTAACGTTAGGCTCGGCTCCCTTGGCCCAGGAAGCCAGACAGGGTTCTTAAAGAGACCATAAAGATGTTTCAAAGCTGCTAAAAATCCAGTTCCAAATACAACCTTTTAGGCTTGGGGCTGGTCGTCTTTCTGGTGGCTGGGATGGTGAGTAGCTCATAAAGCCGGATGAGTTAGGAGTTGCTGGGTTAGGTGTGGTTTCTGCTCTCCAGCCCTTCTCAACATCACCGATGTGCTCCCTCCTCACTGCAGGTTTTCTGTGGGCGGTGAGGGTTTTCCCTTCCTTTCCGAACGATGCAGGGAGGCAGTTGAGCATTTAGGGGCTGAATCCAGAGTTCAGACTGCTCTGGGTTTTAGTATTTAGTATACATTAGTAGTTATATATATAATTATAATATTATTTATTATATATTAGTAGCCTGAGCTTTGGGAGAGCTGCTGTGCTCGGAGGGTAACGGCAGTGCTGTCAGAGCCCTGGCACAAGCATTTGCGTAGCGTGGTCCTCCCAGCACCTGCCTCGTTGGTACCAGGCAGGGGAGCAGTGGAGAGGGCATCGGGCAGGGTGCGTGGGGAAGCAGGGCCAGTAACGTGCTTGGCTGATGAAAGTGCTGCACCTATGTGGGCAACCGGGCAACCCCTCCCAGCAGCTCCTCCTGCCCCTTCGCCTGGGTTTGGCTGCCCCAGCACCGGGAGGGTTAATACCACGCACCAGATGCTCCTTTATCTCCCCACTGGGTTTGCAGCTCCCTGCATGCCTCTGAGCTCCTAAAAGGCTGTGAAAGAGGCTGGCTGGAGCATGCAGTTCAGTCAGGATGGATGAAAAACAGGATGTGGGGCAGGCTTTTTGCAGTGTTGAGCTTTGCTGCGCCTCCAGCAGAGCCCTGTAAGAAGCTCTAGGCGAGGGTTTCTCTTCCTTCCTTCCTCCCAGCGGTCTCTGCTAAGGTAGCTGCAATTATTGATGGGGTTCAGCATGTGGAGCCCAGTGCTTCAAAGCTCCTCTGGCTTCTTGTAGTTTCTTGTACATCGTAGACTGTTACACTTGGTTCTGGGGCTGGGACCCCCCCAGGCTTCTTCCAAGTACCCAGTTCCATTTCTCTTCCTTTGCAAACTCCGGCCTGAGTCAAAGGGGGCAGTTTCCTCTCTCTGGGAGCACCTCTGGAGCCAAAAGAGCCCGTTTGCAGTGGAAGTGAGTCCCCCCTGGGAACACTGGAAGCAGACACCAGCCCTTGAATCTGCCTGGGCTTCTCTGTGCTGTGTCGGCAGCAGAAGCTGTTGTGTCACACCGATGCACAGTGCTGTGATAACCGGCTCCCTTGACGCGCGTCCCCTTCCCCCTCGTTCTTTCCAAGATCCAGTTGTGTGTTGCCTCCTTTTGTTGTACTTGTTCCCATCACCCCACTGTCTCCAAGACTCTCAGCGATAACTGTTTCCCTTTCTGTGGCCACCATCCACCATTGTCTAACCCAGCCATCTGCTGCCTTGCTTGGCCTGCAGGGAAGGGGGAAGGCACAGCAAACCAGGTCAGGTTTCACTGTAAAAGCCCTCCTGGCCACCAGAGATGCCAGCCTGTAGCATGCAGAGGGCTCAGGAAACGGGGGTTGAGAGCTGGGAGTGCGTAGCAGGAACCGAGAGCTCCATCACTGCCCTTAGGTAAGTCACTCCCCATGACTCTCGGTTTCTCTGGAGCCAGGGTGATGCTATGGCAGGGAGCTGAGGTTTCCCTGGCATCTCAGAAGCTCTCAAAATCTGTCCTTGCAAGAGGAGAGGTTGTGCCGTTCCCACTGCAGCTGGAGCAGGGTCCAGTGGCAGCCGCTGGCGGGCTGTCCCGTGTCCCAGCTGGTAGGGAGCAGGTATGTACTGAGGATGAGGAAGGCTCCCCTGCGGAGAGCTGGCACTGAGCTCAGTTCTCTCCCTCCAGGTGGACAGCTGTTCTTACTGTATTGTTTCCTACTCTTTTTATTTTCTCCTTTTATTTTTTCCTCTTCTCTCCTTCGCTCCCCGCTCTGCTGCTGCTCTCCTTGCATTCTCCCCGCCGTCTCTGGCCACTCTGGCAGCCGACAGACGAGAGGAGTTGGGTTTACTCCCCGCTCCACTATAGCGCTCAACTCCACTCTGTCTCCGATGAGGAGAGCGATACAGTAAGTGTACGAGAAACGTGTGCCGGGTGCCCGGTGGGTTGAGGTCGGAGCTTGCGCTCCCCCCGCAAGGTCGGCTTGCAGAGGGAGCCGCTGTGGCCTCTGCACAGCATGGGGCTCTTGCATGGCTGCGGCAGAGCCCTGCTGCATCTCGGATCAGCTCTGTGGCAGCAGGCGAGATCTCCTGCGCTGGCAGAGACCCGGTCTGCTCAGCAAGGGTTGTGGCTTGTTCCGAATCGTTTGGTGCAGTGAAAGCTTTGGGGAGCTGAAGTTCTCCGGTCATGGTGTCGTTACTGGAGGACGCGTAACAAACAGCCTTCTCTCTTCACACTCGGTCTGATTCCGGGGAGTTGGCTGGGCTCAGACCGTGCTGAACGCGGCGGGGCTGCTTGGGTGTTGACTCTCTTTTCTCTGCCTCTTGCAGTAATCTCTATGCAGACACAGAAGCCCCAGAGAGCAGCGATTCCCTCTGCAGGTCGATGTGTTCCCTTTTCGTTGATGCAGCCGTTCCAGTGGGATGGGGAAGAGCTTGCTGATACCAGTATTGCTGCACTGCAGGATCCCGGGCACTGCATTTCAGAACGGAGCAAAACTATAACCGTGTATTTCTACTTATCCCAGACGTGGGCAGCAAAGAAACCACCCACTCACCCACAGCTCCCAACGGAGACATCCAGCTGGGTGTAGAGAATCCTGGGTAGTAACACAGTGTTTTCCAGACGTGCACTACCGTAGCTACCTATCCATGTGTGATACTGTGAACCTTTTTAATTTTTTAATCATGTATTTATTTCTTTTATCTTTGCACAGAGACAGCACAAATGTGCTTTTTTTAAACGTTTAGTTTACTGCACTTTTTTTTTCGTTGTTGTTGTCATATATTTGTGCATCAGAAAGGAGTGTGAGACCTCACTGGAGAATTGGTAGGAGCACGTTGCTGGGGAGGGCAGGGACCGGAGTGGCTTCATTTGAGGCAGCAGCGTGGTCTAACCAACTGATGGAGTCAGGAGGTTTAAGGCTGTCCAGACTCTGCCACGGTTTTGCCGAGTGACCTAAGGCAAGTCACTTAACCACTCTGTGCCTCGGTTTCCCCCGTGCTAATGGGTGTACAGTACCCACTTCCGTTAAAGCACTTAAACCCTGGGATGAAAGGTGCTATGTAAATGCAATGTATTAAAGGCCATTGAATAGAATTGCTCCCATGTTACAGTAGTCCAAAGTAGCCATGCCAATTTACTTGGATTCAAAAATTGCTAGTGACTTTTCTCGATCTGTAACACTGTGCGGGGGAAGCAAACGATTCCTGGCAACGGTGATGTGGTCACCTCTGCTCTCCTCCGGACGTCACGATGGGTTCTGCCTTCACCACGTGCTGCACTGCTGCGTCACCCCGTCCTTCCGTGCTTGGAGTCCACGCTTCGTCTTACCGGCTGCCGCACCGCCACCTGCTCCGGACACACAGGCACGGACAGATGAGAACTGTGCACCTCCAGGGACCAGCCGCGCTGGAGTGCGAGTTCCCCGGTCTGCCCGGCCCCAGGTGTGGCTTGTCTGGACACTGCATCCTACTGGAGCCACTTAGCACCTCGCATGCTCATGGGTGTATCCGACCGCCCAGTACTCGGGGGTCACGAACATTGGGTTCACACGTATCCTCCGTACCTCAGGGCAGTCAGGGAGGCGCGTGCACGTCCGCACACACCGGAGGCAGAAACAGAAGCCTGGCTCTGCCACCGAATCGTGCCAGGCGGTGTTGTGCTCACGGACTCTGTTGGACAAAAAGCTGGGTGACTGGGATGTTGCCTGTGGTAACATCTGCGATTGGAAATCGCTGTTTCGGATGTCTGAGTTTGCTTTTCGAGGGCTGCAGGCTTTAGGCGAGAGGGTTTGGTGTCACGGAGTAGTGTTCAGACTAGGCTCATCCATCTGTCAGCAGGACCCACACCATGGCATTGTCCTGAACCCCAGCAATCCCATCCTCATCTCCCAGAGAGAAAAAAGGAAATCCTTTAGACCAGAGGGAGCCAGGTCTTATTCATGGGCTTTATGAGCCTCGCTTGAGAAAGAGGGTTCAAATCTCTTTATTCTCATTGCAATCTTCAGACTGTCCTTGGGATTCCTTGTAGGGAAGCGGGACCCTTCTCTCAGGGCTCAGTCCCCCCCAGTCTGTCTTCACAGCAGCACTCGGGCCAGGTTAATCCAGGTCCCAGAAGGTAACTGGGCTGGTTACCTCTGCAATGTGCTGAACTTGGTGAGGATCTTCATAAATTGACATTTTCTTGCCTACAAGTACAGGACCCAGACTTCGCCTTGCCTGCAGATGCTGAAGGCTGTAAGGTGTGCTTCTCTCGAGAGCACAGGCTGGGGATCTTGCAAGCTGCTGCCATCAGATGTATCCATGTATTTACCAAAAAAATCTATCAAAAGTCTTTCAAGAAACTCTTCCCTTGTCAGCTCGTTCGCCCAGCTGGTAGCATTGCTCCATGACCGCCCCTGCAGTAGGCTGGGAAACGGCTCCTAACCCGCCCCATCTGCTTGTGCCGGTCCCGCCTGGGCTCCGCAGGGGTGCTGCGGGGGGCTCAGCGGTTTGGCGGAGGGGAGATGGGAGGAGCGCCGTCCCTACGGACTAACCTGCCTCTGGGCTGAAAGCAAGAGGCTTCAAAATGCTAAAAATTCAGCCTTCGTTTTTTTCCTCCGGAAGCGGGATGCCGTGCGTAGAGAGGCCAGAGGGAGCCAGGTCTCTTCTGCGTCTTCAGATGTTGCTCTTGGGTGCTGCGCTGGAGGAACGTAGCTCTGGGGAGGGACCCGGGGGGTCGGGCTCAGGACCACCTTGTCCGTGGGCTGGGGGGTTTAGCCTCGTCGGGACTTTCCAGCCAACTGAAATCGAGCATCTCATTTAAGATGGTTTAAGCATCATTGATGGAGACTTTATTCCTTCTCCTCCTTTTGGGGGTCTCTAAAGCTGCTTAGCCTCTGTGCAGGGAGCATCTGAGCCCCACCTTCATGGAGTATCCCAGTGAATGAACTTTGCAAGCTGGAGCTGCGCTTGGTCCCAAGAGATGGGGGGAAAACCCAGACCTTTTGCAGCATGTTCATTCCAACCATCGTCTTTCCTCGAGCAGTCGGGCTTTTTGAGACAATCCTTGTGCAGTTCTGTAGTGCTGAACCCTTTGGGGCGAGCGGGTCTGGACAGGGAGGGTTGGTCCTGCGAGAGGACGTGCAAAGGGCTTAGAGCAACTTTGTCAACATGAGGCGACAGGAGGGACCTTTCGCGAGATGCTGATCTGAAATGGAAATGGCCCCGTTCCAGGCTCTCGCACGTCCCTGCCGTGTCACCCGCTGTCCCGTTAGCTGGGTGCTGGAGAACTGCTCAGCCTCCGCTTCCCATGGGCGCTGAAAAGACCTTGGAGTTGAACGTTCGCTCTTAGCCCGCCTCTGCACTGCGCTGCAGCGCGAGAGCGTCGGGGAGCTCTGGAGCGCTTCCCAAGCGCTGTCACTGCCGCCTTTGCCGGACGTGCGGAGTCGGAGGAGGGCAGGACGAAGTCTTGCCCACAGGAAAGAGCATCAGCCCTTTTTTGGGGAAGAGAACCCGTCCTTGGTCTGAATGTCCCTCCAGCTGTCCTTCCAGCTCATCCGGGACAGGAGTTGCCTGTGTTTTCTCTGTCAGGGCTCTCTGGTGACCCAGCAGCTCGCTGGCGGGTGCTGTCCCTGCTGTAACCCCCCCTGCTCTCTCCATCGTTAAAAAGAGGCACCGTGTTTCTTCTGCTCTTCCCAGATTTGAGCAGAGCAGCCCTGCCAGACGGCCGGTTCCCGCGTAGCTCTGTTTGCCGCCGCTCTCCTTCATCCCCATCATCCCAGCTGGGACCCTCGGCTCTGCCGACATGCCCTGCGCGTTGCCTGGTGCTGAGGCCGCTGGTGAGCTTTCGGCTCGGGCTCTTGCCAAACTGCAGGTGGCTGCTGCCTGCCAGGGATGGATTTGGCGAGAGAAAACTGGCGTCTCTCTCTCTATGCCTGCCGTCAAGCTCCTGGAAAGGCTCTGCCCTTCGCAGGCAGGCGTAGGGCAGAGGTGTGGGGCAAACCAAGGAGCCGGTGGAGGGAGGCTCGGCCACGTGTGCCCAAATCGCACTTTGGGAAGTTTTTTAGTGAAGCCGGAGCGCTCGAAGGTCTCGGCACAGGGCTGGCACAGGCACAGCGGTGTTTGCATGGGCTCCATCACCCCGGGTCCTCGCTGGGCTCCTGAAGCACGGCCCGGCCCGGCGTTCCCCCTCCTCTCGTTCCCAGCCATGTCCTGCTCCAGCTCTTTCTGAAAAGGAGAAGGCGAAAGCCACGGCTCAGGCGTACCGGATCATGTCTGATTTTTCTTTCTCTTGATGTCTACATTAGACCCAAGGATGTTCTATTGGATGTTCATATTCCCATTTTCCATGTCCGCTCTGTGCGTGCACCATGTAACGAATGTATGTAAGTAGGGGGGCGCGGGGGGCTGGCGGCCCAAATGTGATGCCAACCCGTGGGTGTTGTCATGTTTCTCTTCTTTTTTTTTTTTTTTTTTTTGGGGGGGGGTTATGTCATGAGCGCTTTTTTTCTTTTTCTTGGTTGTTTTGAGGGTTTTTCCCCCCTCCCTCTTCGCGGAGACCTTTTTTTCCAGAGAACTGTAAATTGATGCTATCTGTCCTCGGCTCTGTGATAAAGCATTCTGTAGTCTGTGCTGTGCTCACTCGGGACGGCTCTGCCTCCTCCATCCTGCGCTCGCGGCCGGGCCTCGCCTCCTTTTTGGGGATAAAAAGGAAGAAAAAAGGGGGGAAAGAAACCCAAGGGCCGGGAGGAGGGGGCGGGCGCGGGGC